AATCCATACAGATTCATAAATCAAACAACTGCTAGAATCTAACTTACCTTAATAAGCTGAAGGAGATTGTAACCAACATTAGAAATAACAAAACAATTTTATTCATCATTTCATTCATCTTCAAAGAATAAATTTCAAGATTTACACAAGACAAATAGATAAAAAAAAAAAATAAAAAAATAAAAACTGAAAAGTATGGCCTTTTTTAAATATTTAGTTTGACATTAAATAGATATTTATTCAAACAATAAATCAATTATTGATCAGATAAGAAAAAGTATACTGAAGAGCTTTACTCATAGTTAAGTGGTAATTTGATTGCATTATAAATTTTTAGTGAATATTTTTACCAATGTCACCTTTGTCTTAAAAATTTACTTTAAAATATGCATACCAATTACCTTCTCTACAGTTACAATATCAAGGTTGTCACTTTCATACAAATAAAATTAAGCAAATCATTAGCATATCTAACAATTTGCAGGACAGCTACAAACATCACTAGTGGTCAGTTTTTTTTTGTTTTTTTAATTATTTTGAGCTTATTAAACTGATATTTAATTCTAGAAGAGAAAGATTTGAAGGCTAATAAAAATACAAAAAAAATAAATCTTGCTATCACATGAGGAGGATGATAGATTAACAATGTCTTACCAAATTAACATTAAACTAGATAAATATAATGTTTGAGACCATATAAACTGAAAAATAAGATATGCAGGATGCCATGAAATTATCACTGAACAACTTTCATTTTTTAATATCTGAAACTTAATTTTGTTTTCAGAAAGAAAACTTCAAAATGAATCATTAAAAATCTGAGTATGGAAAGGAAAATCATTTGAACCTAGGAAAGTTCAAATAAACAAATGTATTTATTGTAATTTTAAGGTTATAGTAAAAAAAATTTTCTTCAAGCAGCAAATATTTATTTATTTTTTTTTTACTTTACAAAGTCTATTTGCTATTGTTGATCTGGAGTATCTACAACCAACAGGAAAACAGTTTTGCTCAAGTCTTTAACATGAGGCAATCTTTTCCACTGCTAAAAAAAGTTGGAACTAAAATAAGATGCGAAAGAAGCCTTAAAAATTGTAGTGCTCTATTTTCTATGCACATGCAAATACAATGGGAACTGGATAAGTGTCAACATCTACATTGTGATAAGTAGAATGCTGATGCTGGTTCACAAGTGGAACAAAATCAGAGTGCAAACAGTTGGAGGGCGGGGGACATCTGTGGATATCGACAAGGTTTTAAATAAAATACACTTGAAAGTTTTTCTTATCTGTATTGCTAAAAATGTGTTTAAAAAAAAAAAAAAAAAAAAAAAAAGTTATTTTCCACTTATAATCCTACTTTCATCACTAACTGAAGATAATTACTTGCAGTGTTTTTATCAAGAAATTATCGGTTATAAGTTATAACCAATATGTATAAAGAAAACTATACATTAGAAAAATACTTTTGGAACTAAACTAAGAAAAAAATAAAAATAAATAAAAATCAGCAAGATGCCTAAATTTTAAATAGACAAAAATTACTGAAAAATACTAAATTGTATAAAAATTGTTTTCTAACTTCCATGTGAACAAGCATCAGTGCAGACAAATTATAACTGAAAAGAAAATTTAGTTTTGTCTCTGAACAGAAAGAAATCTAATTGAATCAATCATTTGATGATGTTTCTTATAAATTCTTAAAGCTAAGAATAGCTCGATTTTAAGACAGCAATGTTGGAACCAAAAATGTAAATGCAAAGAGCAAGTGTAGTGTCAATTTCCCTGCATAATAGCTGGGGAAAAAAGAAATCCAAGCAGCTAAGAATACGTTTGATAGCAGAATTGAAACATGCAAATGTAAAGAAAAGCTCTTGTGCATCCACTGGTCAACAGTGAAGGAAGGAAAGAAAAATGGGAGATTTGGTTACCTTCCCATCAGAGCTCTGCAGCAAAGTAAAAAGCAAAGGATAGATAGAAAAGGAAACAAAAATATCAGCGAGAACATGAAAAATGTAAATCGTCTCATTGAGAGAAAAAAAAAAAAAAAAAAAAAAAAAAAAAAAACGGGGGCAGTAACAAAAGTTACTCTCTGACAAGGAGTTACTATTTCCAAAGGCTGTCAGTAAATATACCCAGGCAATCTTAATGTCTTCATTCCAGACTATATTCTAGTAATCCAAAACTGTAAACAAAGGCAACAAAATTAAAACAAGATTATAATTTGAGGACAGGTATTTGTGCTTACTTACATAAAACATCAATTTGTTATTAGCCTTTTTAAATTAAATTTTAGGCTAATGAAGAGTAAAGTAATGTACATGAAATAGATTTGGAAAATGGAAAAGCTTAGTTTATACATATAGCCTTAGAATTTAACTAGATTTCATATTTTCTTGATTTTGAAATCAATACTGTTATATTCAATAATTAACTGATTTTTTTAAAAAAAAAAATTATTGCTGGTGTTATTTTCCCCCCCCAAGAAAAAAGAGAGAGGGGGGGGGGAGAAAAAAAAATATGGTTAAAAAATAAAAATCTTTAATCAGAGGCACTGAAAGGTAACCAAAATGCTCCAAAAAAAAAAAAAAAAAAAAAAAAGTTGCATAAAAGCATTTGAGTCCATTCAATAGTTTCATCCTGTTCAGTAGAAAAATCACATCTAAAAAGGCAATATGCTGTTCACATCAAAGCAGTTAAAAAAAAAAAAATAAATAAATAAAAAATAAAAAAATAAATAAAAAAAAAAATAAATAAAAAAAAAAAAAAATAAAAAAAAGTCAAATAAGTTGACTATTTTTAAAAACCACTGAATTTGACTTTTATATAATAAAAACATAAATTACTCACCTAAAGAGAGGAACAAAATTAGACAATTCTACAGTCCTTAATAGAAACACTAATTGTAGCTTCTAAACCATAAATTGCTACTTTTAAGGTAGTTATCAAAAAGCAATAAGCTAATCTTGATGCCTGTTGCTTGGCAATTACCATCTAACCATTGTCAATACGTAAAATTTAATTCTGATATTTTTATATTCCACATGATTTATTTGTTAATACAAAATTGTTTTGACTTAGACTAAATTGTTCAAAGTACAAAAGTAAATGTAAACAAAATTTAACTCAAGATTAAGTAGAACAAAATTTATAAAATTTATTTAAAATTATTTATTCATTCAATCAACTTGTAATTTGTTAGTTTGGCAGACTACTTAAAAAAAATCAAGACTAAAATATCAAAGATATTTAAAAAGGCAATTTTTTTTTAATTTAACTTATTTTAATGTGTAAATTTTATGCATTTTCAAGAAGCATTAAATACATTCTCCAACGCACGCCATTTTGAGCTGAAATTGGATATTCTAACTTTTTATTATTGGAAAATAGAAGCCATCTTTATAGCTGTAAGGATTAATTTTTTTTTTTTTTTTTTTATATACTTGCACATTGAAAAATCACCTTTCACTTGGAGGATTTTACAAATTAAAAATAATTTCTTCAAATTTCAACAAGCCATTGCAAATATAACAAAGTAAAAATGACTAACACTGTCAGGAATTGGAATTCTATTGGAAAGGAAAAAAAAAAAAATATTGTAAGTTACAGTGGGGGGATTAATTACCAACCAAATTTTCTGATCATTCAAATTTACCATTTGTAATAAATTAGCTTCCTTAATCATAAAATTACATGCAATAAGGTCTGATCTTCATAAATACCAAATTTTCATTTAGTCCATGTATACTAAATATTTTAACTTCAGATAAACTAAATTATTTGAAAAGTGGACGCAGAAAATTATGTTTAATAAAATTACAGAATTGATTGTTAACATTTGAAACATTTGTTCAAAACTTAATTTTGTCCATTTTCTAAACCAACTGAAGAAAATTATATTCTGGTAAACTTGTTTTAATTTCAATGCCAAGAACAAACTAAAATAGAACTGAGGACATCTTGATATGTTCAGTACTATTCAAATACAGTAAATATTACACAACTTTTAAAGACTAGGAATTCTGTCTATGGCAAATAGAAAAATTCACTTAAAAGTTTTCAAATTACTTCATAAATTTTCACTTATTTTACCTATTTTTAACCTTTATCATGCTGTATGTGACTTCATTTGCAGTACAAAAGTTTATCCTGCCACTGAAGGTGACTGATCCCTGAACAATAGCATGTTTGAATTTCATAGTTGTGTTGTCATATCCTGCTATGGAAAGAGAAGACAACTTTGATTGGAATTAAATAGGATACTGCAATTGAGAGGCCTTGAAAATGCAGTGGAAACTAAGTAATATTTATAATGCAGTATGCATTATTAAGGTTATTGTTCTAAAAGTACAAATAGCACCAGAATTATAAAAAAAAAAAAAAAAAAAAAAAAAAAAAAAAAAAACGATTAAACTGCTGTAAAGAGTTATCTGCTTTCAAAATAGAACAAACCTATTAGATAAAAAGTAGTATGGTAGGGAATATTAATTTACCCCCCGCCCAAAAAAAAAAACTCATGTTAAGTTTTCAAAATTGATCTTTAAAAAAAAAAAAAAAAAAAAAAAAAAAAATTCCTAAATTAATTTTAGAAAGTGTAAACAAAAAAGTAAATAAATAATAGTAACTAATCAATGCTACTCCATTCCAGATCATATTTTCTTGATTCAAATGTCAAAATAAGAAAGCAATGAATAACTAAAAAATAAAAAGTAAAAACTATTCTGTAAAACCAACAGACTAATTACAAGCATAGTATCACTGCATTACATAATTACTACTCAAAATTATATAGTTGGCTACAACAAGACAATTAAGTTGGGGATGGGGGGCACTTTCTGTCCCCAGACATGATGTAAAAACAATTCTTTAAGTCTAGAAAGAAATTTCATGTAAAGTAATGATCATAATGACTTAAAATTAACATAATGAAAGCCTTGATTTGCTTTTATAAACAATGCATTATCAGAGTTAAAAATATCAAAGAGAAAAAACAAAACATACCTTGAAAATTTCAAAGCCCGCAATATCCAATATTCCAATAAATGATGCTCCTTGACGTTTGGTTCTGTCCAAAGATTTATTGATTCGTATCACAAGCCATTTAAACATGCGTTCATAACATGCTTTGGAAATTGCTTCAACAGAATACTCTGCCTAGAATAAAGATAAATGAAAATCCAAAAAGATTAAAAACAAACACAAACTAATCATTTTTATTAAACACAGATACAAATATAGTCTTGTTTTAAGTACACCTTGCAAATTATTATTATATATATATATATATATATATATATATATTACACACACACACTGAAAAGACCTATCAATTCACTTTTATAAGTAAGCTAGCAGTAGAGCCCAGCATTGCCCGGGGATATAACAGTAAGAGATAGATCAAGTATCCACCATCATAAAGACTGAAAAATAAAATTGACAAAGATTATTGTTTAAGGTTGACGGACATGCATGTCTTAATTAGTTTTTTTTTTTTTTTTTTTTTTTTTTTTACGAATTGGTCAAACCCAAACTCAAACAAAAAACATTGTTTTCAATCGTTATGAGTCTCTACCGATTGAATAGAATTTTATTATAAACAATTGTCTTGTAAATGGAATTTTTAAAGCATTCTGAATGTAAAAATAAAGAAAAAAAGTGTGCAAGACAATAAGAAACACTACATGCCAAAAAAAAAAAAAAAAAAAGTTTTGTTGAAATCGGTTGAAAAATGTAGGTAGCCTTTCTATAATCTTTTAGTTTTACAATTTATGATTTTTACTTATTGAATACAGTAAAAAAAATTGCATATTTTGCTTGTGGTGATTCATAATTAGAATTCTGATTTGAATATATTTTCTACTCGTCGTTTCTAATACAAAAAATATTAACTTTATTTGGGTTTATTAATTATGATCTAACAAATCTTATTTAGTAGCCTTTCTGTAATAATAATCTTTTACAATTTATGATTTTTACTTATTGAATACAGTAAAATAATTGGACACCATGTGTATTTAAAGTAGTTTCCCATTCCGGTTATTATTTTTAGTTAGGACTTGTGTATGTTTAGATTTCATTATCTTTCCCTAAAAATAAAGAATTTATTCCAATGTTTGTATTCGTACAATCAGTAGAGATCGTTAGATGATTGTTTAAGGTTGACGGAAATGCATGTCTTAATTAGTTTTTTTTTTTATTACGAATGTTATGAGTCTCCCGATTGAATAGAATTTTATTATAAATAATTGTCTTGTAAATGGAATTTTTAAAGTATTCTGAATGTTAAAAATAAAGTAAAAAGTGCGCAAGAGAATAAGAAACACTACCTAATCTGTGTTAGCATACTAGTCCAAATAGGAAGGCATAACTTACCTAAAAATTTCTGAGACAAAAAACTATTTTAAAGATTCTTACAGTATGTTGATTTTATATTTAATCATTTAATCAAATGTCAAAATATTTTTATTGTTCAACAACTTTTATATTGAGTAGAAAAATATTAAAAACTGACAAGATGAAAATCTCTTGGGAAACTAGTTGAAATAGAACAAATATACATGAGTTAAAGATATCTAAAGATTTTGCATAGATTAAGTATAAATGAATATTACTTTAAATTCATTTAATTTTCATTAAAATAAAACCTAACAAGTATAAAAGTATAGGATCAGATATTCTTTTTCATTTTTTTTTTTTTTTTAAACCAAAAGAGTTAAAGAGAAAATTTTGGAAGTAGGTGAAAAACTTCACAGGTGCACACACAATCATTTTTTATATTATACAGAACTAATAATGTGAGCTCATTCACACACAACATACCATAAACATATACACTTCTTCCATTTTTCGCACTAAACAGAGAATCAACATTTATTTTAACCATATTACCCCATTTATTACTATCACTAACTTTTCTTGTAATATAAATTTCTAACAGTTGCTAATCACAACTAATACATTTTCTCCCTATGGATCTTCTGGATTCCATATATAGAATTACTTCTTGCTTTCAACATTATATTTAGAAACATTTTTTCAGAAAATTTGTTTTTGCTAAGAAAATAAATATTGTTTCAACATGTTCACATACTGCAAAAACTTGTCCTCAATCTTTATAGCAGTTTTTATATTTTAAATTTCATTCTTTTCTGAGGCCATTCAAGACTTCAAAGGAAATTGAAATTAATTACACTTGTTAACTTAGAGAAACAATGTAAATTCAAAATTTATAAAAAAATTTAATATACATGTTATAAATTGATGTTTTCTAATAATTTTAAAAGTTGTAAAAATGTTCTCCAAAATTTTAAAATGAACTTGGATAAATTCTGTAAAGAAAGCATTACATAAATAAGTTATAAAAGCAAATTCAGAAATTCCTCATAGACTAAACTGTAAGCTCTTCATGGTTTAAAACCGCAATGAATGGGGAGGAGCATACTTACTTGTTCTTTTGTTTGAGCTTTTGTTACATGATCTCTGCCAACTTTGATTTTGGGTCTGAGAAAGGCTTGAGTCAGGGCAGTGACATTCAAGCCTAACAAATGACAGACTTTCTGGGCAACTAAAATAGAAAAAAAAAAATTTGCAATATGAAAACAAATCTATTTAACCCAAATGCTATCAAATTACAAAAGATATAGCAGTTCCACTCAAATCTTGAGTTGCAGATATCCTGAAAGAATATTTTTTTCAATTCAGATTAATTAAACTTTAAATTAGTTAATTTTCCTTAAGTTTCAGAAAAGTATTATTTTTTTTGAAGATTTTTAAAAAGTGATTTATTTGATGTTGACATCTTTCAATATGGAAGAATTTATAGATTTTACTAATAAAAAAGAAAAAAAAAAAAAAAAAAAAAAAGATTCCAATCAATTTAAATTTGGCTTGAAACTAAGTATTTTCCTTACTGAGAATACTAAATTTAATCTATTAGCTTGGAATTAAAACTAAAAGCTTCGAAGATTTTTCATCTTTTAAAATTAGGCATTGAGATACCCCAAAGTAATGACTTATTTCCAGAGAAACAACTGATAACAGGGAGCACAATAACATTCAACAGAGCAAGTTTCAGCTACAAATTACTATAGGAGCAATGACATTTTCAAGAATATGTTGTTTAAATCATCCATCTTTCATCATTGACAACATGCCTTGTCACATGACATACTTTTGTCACTGCCAAAATGCATTACTAACTGCCTGATGGTGTCTAAATATTTAACAGTGAGTGAATGAGTGAAAAGCAAGTGTAATTATTCATCCATGGAGAAAGTCAATGACATTTCTATTTTAGCATCTGATATAGTGGGGGGGCATTTAACCAGATTGTTACAGATAGCAATTGAGCAACAAAGTGAAAAAAAAAAAAAAAAAAAAAAATCAAAAATAAATATCTAGTGCCATACTAATATCTTCCTTTGACATCAGAGGCCAATATGGAGATTGAAGACATTATTACAGAGCAACTCTTGTACAAGGAAGCTATAAAGTAAGAGACATTTAATTAGATTATTTTTAGTACAGAAAAATACATTTGATTTTCATTAAAAATAATTTAAATTCAAATCTTTTCTAAACCTACTTAAAATGAAAATGTGTTTATGAAATGCATTATGAAAAAAAAACAAAAAAAAAAAAACAAAAACAGTAAGATTTTAATAAGCAATATAGTAAAATAAATATCTATTTCAAAAACTGACCTGTATTGTCAGGTAATGTTGCTTGGTCTGAATTCCTTTCTTGTCTAAACACCATATTTCCAAAAAGGAGCACTGCTGAAACAACTCTGAAGATTCCTGTAATAGAAAGAAATGCCATAACATTAAAGATTTTTTGATATCACATTTTAAACTAAATAGTCTAAGAATGAAGAAAAAAAAAAAAAAAAAAAAAAAAAGTCTGAAATTCTATATTGATATTCTTTGCTTTAGTGAGAAAACACTAATAAAAAATGAAATATTGTCCCATTTTTTTAAAGCATTAGAACAAGTTGAGAAAACTAATGTAATGCAAATGAGAAAAATTCTGTATAAAATGTAAGTGTAACAAAGATGCTATGAAGAGCAAAAATTATGTTGACTACTATTTTGTCAAAACATACTGGGGAAAAAAAAAAAAAAAAAAAAAAAAAGTTAACACGGAATTTTGAGTATTATTACAAAATTTTGGAATTTTTGTCTAAAGTTACATTTAAAATTTATTTTCAATTAAGAGTTGTTTTGGTGCAAAACTGATTTTTATAGAACAATATATGTATGTCTATTAAATTAATGATTTCAGTTAAGCACGAGCTAATTTTTGTTAAAATGAAAGGGTTGTTTTAAGTTGAGGCACAGATATAGCTTTGGTTAAAATATTTTTCATACAAAAGGAAATATGTTTTTTTCAAGAAATAAAGTTTATATCTGCTAAATATACTTTTAGGCATATGAAAATATTAATTTTAACGGGTAGATTTACTATTCTTATAATACAAAATTTACATTCAAAGAGGCTAAGTAAAATATTTGATGTTTGTAAAGCAGAAAATATGATTTTCAATTTCAGCTTACCATTCACATCATCTTGTGAAAGTCCCATGACAAGCATAGCTTCAGAGGTTTGATTGAATTCAGCGACATCATCAACACCATTAACAGGCATAGGACCACCAGACATATAATGATAAGACTTGGCATCTTCCAATAAAAAGTCATCTGTAGAAAAATAATTTCAGAAATAATGAAAACTGAGAAAATTATTTACTGAGGAAAATACATAAAATTTAAAATACAATTAAACATTTTATCCCCAATACTCTTTTGGTGATTATGAAATTAAACTATTTATTTGTTATTAAAAATTTTCATAAATTCAAAAAGATGAAATTTCTGATATTTTTTTTTATGATCAATTATTACAACAAATAAGTGAAGCATACTTCCAAAAACACTATTACAATTTATTTCTTCTGTATACTTTTGACACTAAATAGTATGCATATAAATTTCTAGCATCAAGCAAATTTTCTATAGAGTGGTGACTTATCAGCTTCCTAATTTTATAATAAAGGTTTCTTACTTAATGAACCACTAAAAATGTAATATATATATATATATATATATTACAGAGTTAAAAATCATTGAACAATAAATCTGAAATTTAATAAAGATTTCAAATCTTCAGATAAAGTAGCTTTCACTCACTTTTTTGTGCAGCTGAAGCACCAGACAAGAACTGATAAAAGATGTGGAAACTTCGTTCTCCTTCTGCTTGTCTTACTGAACGAGACTTCTCCAAGAGATCTTACAAGTTAAGATGAAAACTAAATGTTTCAAAGAAAACTATTCCATCTATGACCAATTCTATTTCTGAAATGAAATATTCATCATAAAATACCTTATAGAACTTACAAAAAAAAAAAAAAAAAAAAAAATCTCCAATAAACCTGTATTTTACATTTTAAGTTTTCCAAATCAAGATTTTAAACTGCAACAAACAGTAGCTCATAAGATGGTGTTTAATGATATCAATAAACTAAAAAAGTTACCCAGGAATTAGTGTCCTAACTTAATACATAATCAAATTTCAAAAGTGAACACAAACTCAGCAGTTTTACTAGTGATATATTTTCATACAAAAAAGGTTTTGTTAATTATATAACTACACAAAGATAACCAAGCTGTTTTGCGCCTTGAATAATTTTAACTATTGCACAGGTTTTTTTAACTGAACTATTTAAAATGACTAAATCAACTGATGTGATTTATCGAGTTTTAACAAGTCTCTTCTAATACACTTTTCTCTAAAAGTTTTAATTTCAGTGTTAATTTCATGCATATTAGTGTAAAAGAGCATTTTTTGAATCAAACAATACTAGAAAACTAATAATTTACTTTATTTTGGTGGAATGTGAAGTCATACCAATAGAAAATAATTTGAAATCTGATAAACTGACTTATAGATTCAGATTAAACATAAAAAGGTTACTTCAAGGAGGGTTAAAGTAAATATTAAAAGAGAAACAAAAATTAAACATTCAAATTCTTATATAATTTAATTTGAGCAGCAATCCTTTTTATACAAGTTTCGCTAAATGTAACTATTTGAAGAAAAAAGGCTTAAATTAAATTGAAAGTGAAAAGTAGTAGATGGATTGAAGGACATACTGAAAACAAAAAATGTTTTATTTTTTTCCTCATTTCATGAATAAAGGGCATCACTAGAAGTGAATGCTGAAATCCACTTCAACATCTGGTTAAAGTGAGGCCCAAGAGATGACGTGTAGGGAGAGCAGTGATATCCACAAATCAACTATGGCTAGCATTTCCTGACAGAGACCACCAAGCTAGTTGCAGATAATAATTTTGTGGCTATAGGTAGAAGATAGTAGGAAAGTGGTTCTGTATCACTTGTTGATGGGGGTGGAAGGTATGTGTGTCGCTAAAGAAACTGGATCTCATTGGATGCAGTGCAGAATTCAAATGAAGAATTCAGTCAATTGGTAAGATAACAATTTGAATAATCATCCTCTGAAAACAAGGGTGGAATTTTCCAAGAGGAAAATTCAGGAAAATATCAAAACCTTATGACAAAAAGGTCATTTCTCATGATGTGAAGTTGAGACAGATAATTTTAATGAACACATGACAGTCATGCTACCCAGTTGAAGGACCCAAACTGGTGAACCAGAGAATGGAGGGGGGAATAGACTATACTCATTGAAGGGTGTTGGTATAAGGTACGAATAAGAGGAGGAAATGGGGCAGATCAATGCTCTGCTACCTCTACTCTCCAGAGGAAGAGATTACCAAATTTGGACATGCAAATTGCTTCCCAGGACAGTCAGCACCAAGTTCTGATTGGATATTTGGAAGATCCTGAAATCCCAGATCATGTTGAACCCCATCCCGATGTTAGGCGAAGGTCCATAAAAGTCTTAGATCAAAGTGGAATTGGGGAGTAGCAGCTGAGGCAGATATGCACTTCCATTACACCAAGAGGAGATTATCTTTTCACCAATCCCCATGTGACTTGCTATCACAGAGAACTCCCAACTCATGCCTTGTTCCAGAGTATTAGATAAATTGGGCAGAGTGCCCTGATGAAATTTCAGAGAAGAATTGAAAGCATATATTAGTACAAATCAAAAAACATTTATAAATTGGATTAAGTGCTGTAATGACAATTTTGATGTTCTTATAGGAGTTTATGATTCGGCCCAGGTTGCTGATCTAGCTTGTTTTTATATATTAGATATTCTTAGAATTGTAGATCCAAAACTAATAGGTTTATATAGAGATGGACTCATTTTTGTTCCCAATAGCAATGGTCCACTTACTGTTACAGAAGTTAATAATTAGGGCCTTTAATTTCCTGGGTTCAGGATTGCTTCTAATGGTAGATTATCTAGATATCACCCTTAACCTTACCATAAAGAGCATGAAACACCCAACTATATTAATGTTGATTCTAATCACCCCATGCCATTGTGAAACAGATACCCATTACTGTCGGCACTAGAATTAGTAAGCTTTTGCCTAACAAATATCTTTAATAAAAATAAATTATGAAAATGCTCCCCATAAAAGTGGCTTTAGAAATAAACAATCCTACTTAAACCCCATAAGTAACACTGAAGTATCTAAAATAGGTTGTTGGCATAGAAATAGAAAAAGAATTATATGGTTCAACCCTCCTGTAAATTATCCAATAGTAATATTGGACAGCATTTTTGGAAGTTAAAAATGTTCACAAAAACAACCCTCTAAGCAAGATCCTCAATAGGAAAATTATCAAAATAAGCTATTCCTGCACCAATGTACAAAATTATCAACTCTCATAATAACTACACTAAATTCTATGGGACTAACAATAAACCTGCTATGAACCCCCTCCCCGTAATTGTAGGAATAGCAAAAATTGTCTAGTTCAAGGAAAATGCAGAGCCACTAAAGTGATATACCAAGCAACCATTTACTCCAAAGAAAATAAGTTAAATCACAATATTTATATTGGAATTTCCACAGGGGAATAAAAAACAAAGACTTTACACCCATAGGCACTTTTTCCAACCCCAAATTAAAATATCAGACAGCGCTTTCCAAAAAAGCTTGGGAATTGAGGGAGAAATATCTGAACCCTCAGATTGACTGGGAAATTATAGGTTTTTCTCATACTCCTAATAATCTTAAGAGTGACCTATGTTTAGAAGAGAAAATTAGAATAAAATTCAATAATCAAGCAAACTTAAATCAAAGGATATTTAGTTTCTAAATATTGTCACCAGAGTAGGTTTAAACTTTTGATCTTACTTTATTTTCTATTTATCTAACCCATGTTAAACTTATTTCTATAGTTATTTCTATATTTTTTTGCCTTCTCCATATCACTTCTATCTTATAACCTTCCACTAGTTTATGAACTACCTTTTCTTTGATTACTTTTTCCTTATTCTTTTAAAAATTTAAAGTTTTGTTTTTTTATCATGGGAATGGTTGGTATTCTTAATTTAACTAATTATCTTTACTTTTAATAATCTTTTTAATATATATTCTTTTTTTAATAATTTTTTTTTTAAGAAATTATTTTTCTTAAATTTTGTTTTTTTACATTTTTTAAAAACATTTTTTCTTAATATAAACTATCAAATGACAATTTATTGTTAATCTTGTATTTTATTTGTAAGCATATTTTGGTAATTTTCAGCAGGAAATATTTTGTTACAATTTTATTTAAAACTTTTCAGCCTTCCTTGAATTTCACTTTATTTTTCTTATAGCCCCAACTCAGGGTGTTATGGTTGGTATCTGGGTTGAATTTGTAACTTCTTTCCATTTAAGCCAAACAACATCTGCACATCCCTTACCACCACCCAAGCTGTTTGCGTTGTCCATTTGGTTAACTCTGTATCAATTTTTCAATATTTAATTTTACATTTCTAGTTTTGCCTGAATACAGTCCACCATTTGAGTTGAATAAAGCTGATATATATACGTTAGTTGAAAGTATACTGATGAGGTAATTTTGGTTCTTTTATATATATATATATATATATATATATATACACACACACGAGAGAGAGACTCACAAGTGCTTCGTCAGCATTCTGTAATTTGCAGCCTGAGAAGTCCAACTTAAAGCTTGAAACCCTGACTCCAAATTGGAAACAAAAGAACAAAGTATGACAAAATTAGACTATGAAAGAACGGTCATTAGCCTACATGCTTGTAGATTCTTATATGAAAAAGTGTTCCTGTATAAACCTCCATTATATAAACCATGTTTGTCTACACAACTTTCTTTTTATTTTGCCTTATAACATAACCCCACCTGAATGACACCAATCCAGCAATATCTGGTGATGATTCAACCCTTGCCTGCTTTGTGATCAAAAACAACATGGGACAGGGAGAGGCTTAGATCGAAGTTACCAACTCCATGGTAAGCCACAGGATTCAATCATGGACACACCGGTGACCAAAAACAGGAAGGCGTCATCATATTGTGTAAGGAGCAGGACACCCTGCAGCATAAAGACAACTGACAAGATGCTGCAGCTAAGCTTTTTATTTAATTTTTCTTATGTTCATATAAATGTTTTCTTTTCTGGACAAAGTGTGTAAAAATTGTCCAAATGTTCTGGATATCCTAGAGTGCTTTTAGCTATTCTTTTAGCCACTATCAAGAATAATTTTTATTTTTAACTGAATGTATGGATTTTTTTTTTTTCAGAGAGGACCAGCACATTGTCATATTCTTAGTTGATGTTTTGAGTGCTAGCTTTTTTTTCTTTTTCTTTTACACAAACACACATATATAGATGAGTCTATTATACTTGTATTTTCTACAAGTTTGTATGGATGGAGTTTGATAGATAAAGTTAAGGACAGAGGTTCCTTTTTTCAAATGTGATTGAGATTATCAATTTTTTTTTTAGCAAAAAAAAAAAAAAAAAAAAAAAAAAAAAAAAAACTTTATGAACTAAAAAATAAAGTTCCAATCTTAGATGGTCTCACAGAATTCAATAGTAACACATTCACTACTTCATTATACAAAAATCCTGCTAGTAGAAATTCTTGCCACCTTAATTTTATGAGTGAATGTCCACTTAGATATAAAATAGGTGTTATAAAAAATTCCTCAAGGGAGTGTATGAGAATTCATCCTCTTGTCCCCTTTTCCTTAAAAAACAATAACATTTTCTAATAAAAACCAAATACACAATTATAAGTATGATGAATTTTCTTAGAAACAAAGAAATACACAATCCCAGTTGACCAGAAAAAGAAAAATTATTTGCTATTAAAAAAAAAAATATATTAAACTGCTAACCTTATCAATAATAACTCACCTGCAAGTTTTAGATTACAGAGAACCAATATTTATAAATTCACATACCCCTTAAGGAACTGTGTTCCTGATCAAACCAAATTCATGAATAATTATACTGGAGATACCACTACATGCCTATCAAGACTCCTGTTACACCTCTCTGACCAAAGCTCAAATAGGATTCATTTAAAACACATAGAAACCTATCAAACTCCTTATGCAACATACTTGTGAAAAATACAATTATAATAGCCTCATCCACATGTTAAAAAAAATTTGTTAAAAATAAAAATCATCCTAAAATAGCCAAAAGCTCCCTGATATGCAGAACATCTGGACAATTTTTACACACTATGTCCAAAAAGAAAATACTTAAGTGAACAAAAGGTCATGTGTGCAACAAAAAGTAAAGGGATTGACAGAAGACAAAAAAGTTTACCAGCAAAAAGTTAACATACTTCAAAGTAACTTCAGCCAGGATTTGCTGGTTTCTTATCCTACAGTCAATGAATGGTAGTAAATGAACTAGTCTGAAACAAATTATTACAACAACTTACTTTGCCAGCCAACTTGCTGAATGTTGGCCCCAACCAATGAATACACATACCTAAATGAAAACCTTCACTTTATTAATCTCATCTGACCACATCAAAGAATTCTTTGAAGTCTTTGATCTAAATGACCCCAAACTGAGTTTCATTCATAAAGATAGATTCTCTTAACAAGATAAATAAAATGCTTAATTATAGGACCTTGTCAGTAGTCTTTAATGAAACTTATATAATTGAGTTTTCTTAATTACTCAAATCTTGTGTGCGTAATTAAAAATTAATGTGTTAATGCCAACATTAACAAATTAGGTTTTATATAAACCTTTAGCAATAAGACAATCTTAATTTAAAAACTAGTTTAACTAGGCATTAATCACAAAACTAATTTTCCAAACATGTGAGAAAGAGCAAATATTTAGGAAGAATAAAATGGCCAGCAAAAAATTTCATAATGCTTTTAAGAGGATACAAGTTTCTATGTTGGCTCCACAGATATATCCAGACATGTCAAAATTGATTCTGATAAACTTGCCCTACAACGAAAAATTAAAGTAATCAACACAAGATTTAAAACTTGAAATAAAATTCAGATTTAGATATAGAATCTTGATTTACTTACAAAACGAGAAGAGTTATCATTTTTTATGGTTTTGGCATTTCCAAAAGCTTCCAGAATTGGATTGGCTTGTAGAAGTTGGTTTTCAAGTTCACCCTAAAGTTAAAACAAGTTTGTAAATTTAAAACCCAAAGCCATTTGGTGAGTATAGAGAAAAAACAGTAGCACATGAATCTTTACAAAGTATTACTATTTAAATTTACATGACTACATACTCAGTTATAAGAAAAAAAAAAAAAAAAGAAAAAAGGTACTGAAAGTAGTCACCAATTATGACTACATAATTATTGCAGAAATTGTAATATAATTCAGTCCCTGTAAACAACATGCAGTAATTTCTTAGCTCTAATATAAAATTTCCATACACCATTTCCTTTAAAAATAAAAATATAAAAAAATAGTTACACATGAGAAATCAAAGTCAATACTTTTACATTTTATTTACCAACAAGTTTTGCTTATATATTTTGTGCTGTAGGTTAAAAAAAAAAAAAAAAAAAAAAAAAAAAAAACAACCAGTATATAAAAGGAATAAAAAGGTGACATTACTTCTAGAATAACATTTTATTTCCTGTGAAAATTGTGTACATCCAATGTACAAGACAGTAGCTTGCAACTATGACAAAGGGAAAGAGGAGACTCATGAAAGTATAAAAACCAAACATGAATGATGACACTGCTGGAACACTCTTTAAAAGAATAAGATAAATACAAAGAAAAAAAAAATGAATATATGACAGAGTTAACTAGATTTTGTATCATTTTGAAAGCTATAAATGACTAGCTTATAATTGTTCCTAAATGGAATTTTAACATTTGCACAGATGTTATGGTCTTCACATGTTTATAATCAGAGAAATCTTTTTATAAACTGAAAGATTAAAAAGGCCACATTTACGTAATTTCAAGTATTTAAATTTAACAGCCAGTTTGTTAAATTGACTAACACAACATATGTCCAAAGGACTACATTTACTTACCATAATGTGACCATTCAACATTCCCTGCTGGAGATGGCATGCAGTGAAAGGAGATAAGTTTTCTCAATTAAAATATTCAATAAACTTCTTTCAGCAAATTAGCCAAGAGAAGTTGAAAACATCTATAACACCAAATGGCCAAAAGAACCATTGCAGTCCATATTCTTTAATTACAATATAAAGAATACCACCAAAAGATAAAACCACAGTGATAAATTTAAAAGAACACAGAACATCTTTAATTCAAAGTGAGTTTGATAAATAAAAAATAAAAATTAAAAAGAGTGTCTAAAATAAAAATAAAACTTATAAATCTTAACATTTGAATTCCAGTTAAACAAATTGACCAATTTAAGAAAATATTGATGTTAAAATTTGATATTGTTGCAGTCATGAGCACAAGTGATCTATAACTGGTCTAAGTAGTGATCAGAGTAAGACTGATGTCAATCAATACATGTTACATAGTTGCCAAGCAAGTACTGCAAATTCATGCAGAAATATCAAATGCACCTATAAAGATTAAAAATAGCTTTTCTAACATAAGAGGCAGATACATTTAAAGAAAAAAAAATGCAAAGGGAGAGGGGACTTGATTTTGCAAATACAAGGAATAAATTAACTCAAAATTAGGATCTTTATAATTTTAAAAATTCAAAAGTTTGTATCAAGGAATGAATAAAACATTTTTGCCATTTAAATTAATCCTTGAATATAAACAATTTGAAAATAATGCAGAATTAGAGTTAACATTTTATAGAAAATTCTGAAATACTATAGCCAAAATTTTAAAAAGGTCATTCTTTATTCAGCTATTATATGAGGGAGAGCTGAAAGTCCTAGAACCAATCCACTTACCAAAACCAGATCAAATTTCAATTTTTTCTTTGGGGAGGGGGGGGATCCCTTCTTGATCAGGCCAAGAACTTTTCAGTGACCCTTCATACAATTAGCAAAAATAAAGCCCTGATAAAGTTGGGTGATTGAATGCAACAGTAAGTGCATATTTTCACTCATCATTACAGCTGGTACAAAGTTTTAACAACACTTTCTAAGTAAAGCATAGATGACAAAAAGCAAAAGGATGCTAGAAGTGATTACAGCAAATGCACAGTGCTTTTACCACTTCCATTATTCAATCACAAGATGCCTTTTCTTTTTTTGTCCACATAAAGCAATGTTTCTTTATAAGCAGCATAAAGAAATTTCTTTCAACAATCATACCCTTAATCCAAAAGGGATTGCAACTGCAATATACTACAGGGCTGGAACAGCTAATACTGACAAGGATATCTTAATACTTGCCAATTACCCTTTGGCCCTCGAAAAAAAAAAAAAAAAAAAAAAAAACACAACACAAGATATGCAGTGCTTATGAGTGCGTAAAGTCACAAGGTGGCACTGTACTTGTATACTTATGGCATATTCGTGTTATATTAAATATAAAAGGAAGGAAAAATACGAACATACAGAAACTTCAGAATTAAGCCAGAAAAACACCTGCTAGAAAATAAATTTCAAATAATTCCAATAATTTCTTGTAGATATTAGTCTACAATACTCTAGAAACAAAACTGAAGTCATTTTTTCTTGATATTTATAAAAATGTGAATTGTAACCTTTTAGATTTCTCACTTTAGAATAGAAGTAAACACCTCAGTTAAACAATTGTGATTAGATCAGCTAAATATTTTTCAACAGTAAAAGGTATAAAAAGCTACAATAAAAAAAAGTTAAAGAATACTTTATGAATAACAAATAGAGAAACTTTTCCAGATTTAAATTTGTACCAGATTTGAAACAAGGAAAATAAAAATTACTGTGTGAATAGCAAAATTAAATTACTGCAACTATGACTGCTTAATTACCAAATAATTAAAACTGACAAAAGGCTTACATTTTTAAACAACTTCAGGACTACATTTTCAGATGGAAAAAATCTTCAAATTTCCAAAACTAGTTAAGCTGATTTAAAGCAAATATGAAAAGCCTAAACTGCAAGCCAAAAGCTATTTTCATATGCACTTGCTTAAGTATTCATCTAACAGCACCTAAATATATTTTTTCAATGTATCAGAATTTAGACAGTACAATAAACAAAAGAAATGCGCCAACCTTTTTTAAGAAGAGTGCCATGTTCGAGAACTCCTCCTTGGTCACAGCCTACGTTAATAAATAGATGACATGCGAGATGTTAGAAATAAGCATGCTGCAATACAAGCTAATGCCTTCAATACAGTGCCACCAAGTGTGAATGAATAAATTATAATTATGATTATTATAATATGATAGCTACTATGTGAGAGCTACAAAAATTCAGGCATACTTACAAGATTTAGCTCCTTGGTCTAAAAGTGGATAATGGAAAGAAATTAAACATGCAACATTCATGCACATAATTGTGTAAGAGTGGCTAATTGCCAGGAGCAAACAACAGCCAGAGCAGACAATAAGACAATAACTAAGATGACAGTTTAGTGCATCAAGAAAATTAAGGGTTGTGTAGAAGAACTGAGGAGGAGGAGGAGGAGGAGTAGTTACAGTTAAAACATGGTTAGGAGGAAAACATTTAAGAAAGTTCCTAAAAGAGTGGTGGGAAAGCAGGAGAAAAAAAATATGTCTGTTCACAGCACAAAGGAATTTATTGTACAGCAAAAACATGTCCGGTTAGATTGATTTTAAAATCAGTTTAACTTACTGATTTTTTTTTCTCAAATTAACCCATTTTTAGCAAATGTAACAATAGCAGGAAAAAATAAGTTTATAAAATATCAACAAAAGTGGATTAGTAATACTTTTATAATATTTCTAAAACCATTTTTATTCATATTCTATAAATGTTTCCAAATGACAATACTGCAGAAATTTCATGTTATATAAAAGGCAGGAATGTGAAAGATCTGACAGTGATTATAAATAAGAAGTAAGCAAAATAGTGGAAAATCCAAGTGTAGAGAGCAATTGTCAAATTAGAGATCAAACAATTCAGAATATTTTATAGGTTTACAAGTTACAATAATTACCAGTTTAACATGCATTTTTAAAAGGGTGTGTCGACAGTTAAATTATACAAACAAACCAACTAGAATTTCATATGGTAGGATCCTAAAAGTTTATCCAGTTTGAGAAATGTTCACCTCAGAATTTAATTTTGTAATTCAAGATATTACAAAACAGTTTTATGCCTAATAAATCTGAATGATTTTACTTCATAAATTAACTAAATATGTATTACTTGGTAGTAATCTAAAGCTTCTAAATGGAAAATTTCTAACTGCCTGACTAAAGTCAGCATTTAAAATTCTGACTTATTTCAGAGTGAACAACTGACACCAAATACAAATTTCTAAACACTTTAATTCTCCACTGTTTTCTTAAAATGTAAATTTCATTTTACATTTATATGCACAAACATGAATGCTAACCATGTTGAGTATTATGAAACCAAAACACTAATTTTGTTAAAGAAATTTTCATGTTCAGTGCCAAAAAGACTGAAACAGTATCAAGCTATATTGCTTTAAATAAAAAATCATGGGAAGTGTTAAAAATCAATTTCTCTTCAAATTTTGATGCAGAACAAAAATGCTCACAAATTAAACTTTTCAGTTAACAGTAGAGATTGAATTAAAGCTTTACAAAATGTCAGGATCCAAATTTAAAGAAATTTACTCATTTATTTTTCAGTATTTCAGTTTTAAGAGCTTTACAGACAATAAAAATGTTCCCAATTATTAATTTAGTAAGTATTTTTATTAGATTTAATCACTTAAAGAGCAAAGCTATTAAACAGGCAGTTTTAAATGTTAGAAAATACAACACTTAAATAGTTGAAAGATACCCAATTTTTCATTAACACTAATTGCAGCTAGTATAATATTGAAAGATTTAGCTATTCTATAAATATGGCTTTATCTGAAACGTATTAAAAATTAAAAAAAAAAAATTGTTCTAAGTTCTCTGCAACTACTTTCATTAGTTTACAATATTTTAAATTGAAATAGTTAAAAATAATTAACTCTCAATTAAGTTTTCATTAAACAGTCTTAAAATTATTTTTCCATGCAATAAATTTAATGTCTTATTCTTTAATTTTTCAATAAACAGTAATGACCCAGTTAGAAAATATTAAGCCAGAGAATAAAAAATCTTTTTGCAAACATTTTCAAAACAAGATGGTTATAGAGGTATAAGGGGGAGAAGCACACACATGAAATTATCTTTGATTACAAAAATAATTAGGTTTTAATGTTTTAACAAAATTTAAGACATTTAAAGATAAGTGCTTAATAGATTAAATATTTAAAGAATAAATGATATTAAATATTTTGTGGCACTGAACAATGTTTACAAAAAAATACATTAAGTTAACATTTAAGGCATTAAACATTTGATAGATAAACATTTGCATTAATGATTTTTTTTGTCAATGTTTTTTTGAAGTCAACATTTTCTAACAATTTGATCATTTAGGATGGAATTAAATAGGAATCAGATCCCAATAAATTTATATTTCAAATTAGCAGTTTTTATTTTTGAAGTAGAAAAATCATTTAATACAATGAAAATTTAAGTTTGGCTTTATAATAAGCACACTAAGAAATGCTTTTTACAATAGAAAAAAAAATATAAAGCACAAGTAAACAATAAAATAAAGACAAGTAGTACCTAATAAAGTCTAAATTTTAACATTTAGGAGTTTGAAAATATGAGATCCAAATGATATTTACAGAGATTTCCATCTCTGCAATCCCACAACTCAACATACTTTCTCAGCACTGTCAAATACTATATTTACAACAGTGATACAAGTTGCACAATGTACATTAATACATTTAAATAGTAGACAACAAAAAGAAAAAATGTAATTTTTTAATGCATAGCAGATTTATATTTTTCATCTCTACATAACTTGTAAATTTTTAGCGGTAATAAAAATTTACCAAGTTTTAGTATACTAATAATGTCAAAGTTGAAAAAAAAAAATCAATCGTAATGAAAAGTATTATCAATCTATTAAGAGAAAATTAGACAATTCAATTGAGACAAATAGAATGTATAATTAAAGTAATAAGAAATTGAAAATATACAAATTAAATTTGTCACCTCTTCATAAATATTTAAATAACAATGATGAAAACAAACAAATCCTAATTTATTTAAAAGGATTCATGTAGATTTAATATATATTTAATATTTATTAATGCTAATGAATGCAAATTGTCTATATTTTAGATTGGATCTAATTTATTATTTAGTTTTTAATAGTTGATGCCCAAGCAACTTGTTGCTATACTAACAAAGACATAAAATTATTAAGTTATCAAAGGAAAATGACTATTGCATCCAACAAATGACCACATACCGAACCATGAAAACTTGTAACTGATGAGCGGTTGTTGGCTGCGCGAGAAGAAGCTGCTACATATGCCAAATATTGAATGACTTTCTTGGTATTCTCCGTTTTCCCTGCCCCAGACTCGCCTCTAAAAAAGAAAAATATTGGAAGCTCAAATTTTCAATAGAAAATGTATCATAAAACAAATTAAGAATACCAATTTTCTTTGAAAAGGTGTATGTAGTGCAGAGAGGAGGTATATACTAAATAAAAATTTTAAAATAGTTAAATTCTCATTTGTTTACAATCTTGTTTATAGATCAAAACACTGAAAACATTCTAAAAATTTAGAATTCATTTTTACAAATTCCTGTTGAAGTCCAAATGTTAAGAGAAAAATGGTTTCAAATAATTTTGAACATATGAACAAATATTTTACATAGATAATTCCATAAAAGAGAATATATTTACATCGAAGAAATGATTAAAAATACTTTAATTAAATACTTCTTACAATACATCCAGTTATATGCTTTTTAAAAAAAAAAAAAAAAAAAAAAAATGTTCCCTTCAAATAACAATGAGCTTATTAAAATCATTGGACTTGTGTATTTTTTTTTTTTTTTTTTAGTTAGACCATTACACCCTTTTTATTGCACATGCACCATAATTCAGTTTGAAATTAATGCCAATTTTTTTTAAATATTGACTTGAGTACAATTTTAGGTATGCACATTAGAATAAAAATGGTGCAAGAAAGTTAATCTTGAGATGTCAATATTATTTCTACATTTGAGTTTTGCAAATAGGTTTTATCAACTAGTCATGCTTAGTCACCATACCATAATTCATAACAAAGGAGTTATTTTCATGTTGACAAAAGAGGCATGAACAAAATCAGTGGCTCAAAAGCACACTGAATATATTTACTATATGCTACCAACCGATTTCAGAAAGGTTTTTCCAACGTTACAGGATGACAAGTAAAATTAATCATACAACAACCAATGTACAAGAGACATCTTGAAAATAGAAGATTTCACCAAGGTGGAGGACTTAAAAAAAAATCTTCACTTTAATAAATAGATCTCTAATTCTACATTGTCAATCAGATTAATTCAATAAGAAGCTTACCATCGAGAGATGGCTTTCTATACAATTGTTATTTTGCTTTTCAAACAAAAAAAAAAAAAAAAAGGTTAATTATTCAATTTTATAAATAAATAATTTATTTAATAATTCAAAGCTATTATTCAAATTTATAAAATTTCCCAGTATGTCTAAAAAAAAAAAAAAAAAAAAAAATTTTCATTGCAAGAAGTATTTTATTGTTTTATGGCTTCAAATTTGTTTTTGAGCTTTGAGAGCTGAATCTCAAAGCTCAAAAACAAATTTGAAGCCATAAAACAAAATACTTCTTTTATTACAAAAAAAAAAAAAAAATTTTTTAAAGTTTAAAACATCTCAAATGGCAAACTGAACCATTTTTTATCAGATGAATGGGTAGCATTTAATATTAAGGCATCCAATATTTTGTGATAATGACACGATAAAATTTACTTTTTCTTATATATAACATCCATCAAAACATGAAAAGCTACAAATTTTCAGGTCATAAGCCCTTATACTTTTCAAGATAGGAGTTTAATATATTTCCAGTTTCTGTTGAAAATATGCCATTATTATTTCCTTTGATGATTTCTGTTCTGATGCTGCAGTTCCATTAAAACATAAGCCTGATCAAATTTAACTGGGTTCCATATGTGCATGGAAAAATGTTAAAATATTAATTTACTTTTCAAAACCAGCAAAATGACTATGATAAGTGGTGACCAGAAATTAAGGTATGCAGTGAACGTTTCAAGTGGTATCTAAAGTTATCTGAAATGGAAACATTTTTCTTGCTTTATTTACCTTTGGCATAAAAATCACAAATTCAAAGTAATGTACAGATGCCACCATCCAGAAGTACTTGCTTTATTTATCCAACATATTGCATACAAATATTTTAATTCATAGAAAACTGAAGAAAGCTGTAATAAATTGTTTAACATAATACAATTGTAGCATTTTTTGACAATAAAATGAGATCAGCTTAATTCAATTTCAAGTTGCTTAGATCAATCACCAGCATGTTTTCATAAACTTTCATCTCATTATCTTCCAGTTGCCAAATTGGACAAAAAATTACTTGAAAAACTAAAAGTTGAAGTTTATGGAGCATTACAATCATCTCATCAAACAAATCCATTGAACAAAAAGAAAGCTTAGGATTTTGGAGAGTTTTTTTTTGTGATAGAAGAAAAATAAACATTCAATAAAACAGTTCAAATCCTTACAATGACTCCAAAATTTTATTCAGGTGAGTAAGTTGTTCTGTTTTCTTGTTTAAGCATTTAGCGTGCAAGTTTAGAATATTAAAAGCTGAGAAGTGTATGATAGACATAACTTCTCAAAAATTGGTAAAGAAATTGTCTGAGGTCATCCATTTGCTGATAGTTAATTTTTTTTTTTCCATGATGACTCATGCCAAAGAGAAAAAAAAAAAAAAAGCATTCATACATTGCTAAATGTCAATGTACCATATAGTTAAAATGGTCTTCCTGATGACAGGAATTTCAGAGAACTATCAATTTATGCTTCAGGATTAAATCCAAGGGTCCCATGAATAAAAAGAATGTTGCACTTTACATCCCATTTCAAACAAGACTAAAAACTGCAACACCAATCATTCATTTTCCTTCAGGTGGCCTAAACCAAGATACGTGATCTAAATATTAACATTCTAATCTCGGATGTAAAGTATCCAGCCATCTTGGACAGTCATTTGACCATTTTCTGCAGATTAATATGGATTTGAGGAATGATTCAATGAATAAATCCCAGATAAAATTTTGGTACTGACATTTCAAAATTGGCTGAGAATCAGTTGAAAGTGGTCCACATTCTGGGAGGCCTTCAACAAGAGGAACACCTGAAAAATGTTCAACTTCTGTAGGTTGCAATCATAAGAAATTCGTGAATGTCAATGTTATCAAATCTGGAGATTCAGGCTATCCAGAAAGTATTCAGCTATGTACTGACTTCCCATTCTTTGTCTTGTGCAGGGGAATTTTTGCATCACCCAAATTCAGGAAGTCCACCAAGACAATTTTTCCTAAAGTTAAAGGAAATATTGAAGCAAGCTCAAAACAGATGATATTAAAGAAAGCAATGCAACAGCTGACATTAATTTATAAATAGAATTTTGCAGACTAGAAAAGAATGCTGGGATAGGAGGGACACTTTGAAACAAACTAGGGTGTACTGCTGCTCTAGGTATGCTATATTTTTATTAAATGAGTTTCTGGACAGATTTGTTATATCAATAGACTGAACTGAATGCTTACGTGCACAGAATAGACTGGTCTTCTCGATCTGAAAAAAAAAAAAAAAAAAAAGAAAGATCTCAAAACTTGTTAAATTACATTATTATGAACAGAAAAGTCCTAAGAGGAGTGCTGAAAACTTCTTTGCCCAAACAAAATTCACATTCAAAAATTTATAAAAAAAAAAAATTATTAAAGTTTTTATTATTCTTATAAGAAAAATTCCAATTTCCAATATTAATTTCAAATTAAATTGCTTAATACTACCAAAATGTAATTTTAAATAAATTTAGCTTGTTTTAAGTTTACTTTTATAACCAAAATGGAGAGAAGAGAAAATAGACAAATCAATTCTAAAACCTAAAATTAATTTCATCCTTATATCCAAAAGTAAGAGTTTTAACCAATTCGGAGTCAAAAATCCAATGGTAGGGAAGAGGTTATTTTGATAACTTGGCTAACTACCTGCATAAAAAGAGGTTAATATCAAATATTTGTAGATACACACAAATAGTCCAACTTATCAGAAACACCTCCAACATAATGGTAAGAATTTAGCTAGATGAAGACACTACTGCCACTAATGTCTTATTATATGGAAGGTATTTCTGCCATGCTATATAATCAACATGATTGAAACAAGAATTCTAAGCAATTCAATTCGGGGGGGGGGGGTGAATCCTAGCTGTAACAGTTTTAACCATTTTTGTGAATAATTTAGATTTTTCTCTTAGCAATTTAAGCACCTAAACAGCAAACAAAACATGCAATTTCTGTATATAAACTTTCCTAAATTCAACGTAAAATATTTTCAAATTTTTGCCCAAGGACACATGGCAGAGTGGATAAAGGTGTTAGATCTAGAGACATGACCCAAATAGTGTGAGTTCAATACCTGGTTAAGGCGGTGGAGAACTTGGAGAGGAAATCAAGCAGGAGATAACTGACATCTATTAGACATGGGATGTGGAACTAGAACAGCGAGTGAAATAAATGGTTCAGTTCAACATACCTACCACCTGAAGAAGGCCGGAGCATACAATGGCCAAAACATAATAAATATGGCGACCGAGATGAGGACAATAGCTCGGATAATGTAAATAGTGTACATAATACCTCATATGAGAGAGAGAGCTTCATAAACGTAAAAAAACAAGTGATGGGAAGGCCCTAATAATTTTGTTTGGAACAGAATAAATAAAAATTCTCCATTTGGTTAAATCCTATTTTTATCCTTGCTTATCAGGTTTCGTCAGATGGTTTCAACATTTTGGCTATCAACATCAGTTCATACCACTTGTTTGCTACGTTTTGATTTTAGATATGACAAAGTGTCATAGTGACTGACTTATTTGAACTAATGTTCAAATAAATAAAACTCCTTACATTTTTTTTTTCCATAAGAAAACATCAACCATAAAATTTTATTCATAATTCCAAAACTATGACAGTTATTTACAACAAATGAAACTCCTGGAAAAAAAATTGATTTTCTAAATTTATAGATGTATAATATTAGCCAATAAAGCACTTTATACAAGATTAAAAGTGAGAAATTATACAAGATTAAAAGTGAGAAATTATACAAGATTAAAAGTGAGACTTTATACAAGATTAAAAGTGAGAAATTATACAAGATTAAAAGTGAGAAATTATACAAGACATTTCACATATGTCATGAACTGATAATCTCTTCAAATATTTCAGATTAATAATAATAAAAAGTCACTAAGAGTGTTCTTTTTATATTTGATTAGGAAGAGTCAAGTAATATGGTTTAATATGTTCATTTTTCTTCACATTCAATTCCTCAAATCTCATGAGGTGGAAAAAAAATGTAAAACTTACCTTGGAGCATACTTCGGTATGCAGTATCTGTGATTGCAAATACATGAGGAGGTACTTCATGACGTTTCTTTCCTCTGTAGAGTTCTATTACCTTATCTTGGTATATAGGTAATTTCTTGTAGGGGTTCACAACTACACAGAAGAGTCCTGAGTAAGTCTACAACAAATATTCAACATATGAATAAATATGCTTGTGTTCAATTTTTCCCCGAGATAACTGGATAAGAAATTTAAACAATTTCACACTAACAAAGAGTCACATCAATGACTTGAAAGCTTAAAGTTTAGTTTCTTGAATTTGTTCTTGCAATTTTTTTAACCTATGCAAAGAATGAAAAAAAAAAAAAGTTCAAAATGAAAAGTATGTACATTATAATTTAAAAGATGTTAAAATTTCATATTCAACAAGGAAGAGAATATTCATTTAATTTTGAAGTCAAATACAATTTTTTATTTATTTCAGTCAGTTGTAATTACTACTGTACCCCAATAAAATTAACTTGCCATGTGTTGTGAACCTGAGGACTTATACTCCAGAGGAAGCCAACAAGGGCTAATAACAACAGTTGTAATCAACAAGTGCTATTCGAAATAGAGAAAAAACAAAATTGGAAGTCTCATACTTTTAATATTAGGTTAGATGAATGCCTTTTCAATTGATCTTGAGGATCCCATTACTTGTGAGACCATCCAGAACTAAAGAACTTACAAAAACCTCAAGTATAAGAGCCACATCTTATTAGAGATTAAGCATTTAATAGTAAAAAGTCATGAAGAGATTCTCTTCAAGTCAAGCAATCTATCTCCATTTGCTATCCTTTTAATTGAACAAAATTAGTATTGTTTGCACTTTTTTTAAAACATTTAAGCTGTAAAGGAGTAATGTCTTGCATGAATATATTTTTTAGCTTAAAAGATTTGTACCCCCCCCCAAAAAAAAAACCTTGTCCATCAATTTACAATAGTTCTCTGCATTTATCTTGACAATATCATTCACTTTAAAAAAGACCTGTAATTTTAATGCATACAACACACCATCTCCCTCACTGTTGTGCTGTAAGTCATGTTGACTGAATATTTTCATGAAGGATCCAATAGCATTTTATATTATTTGCCAAAAATTAGTGCTGAGAAATACTTCACCTTACACATTTCTTTATTATGTTTAATTGAATGTAATATAGTTTGGTTGTTTTTATATCTATATTCTACATTCTTTTACAATATAGCCTTTGTATACAGAACTCATTTTGATTCATCTCAATGTCAACATTGCCACACTTATTAAAAAAAAAAAAAAAAAAAAAAATCAGTTTCATTCTAGAACACTGAGAATGAATTATGCTAGATTAATATTTTCTTTCTAATATACATGACAAGTGAACTGAAAAGAATTAGAAAAAAAAAGGTGACAGTGTTATATTTATTAAGAATAAATTAAATTATGAATATCCAAACATTTCTCAGAAAGAATATTGTTTCCATATTGAGCAAGTGTTTAATTATTTAAATCAAAATAAATCTACAAACATTTTTAAGAGAGAGTGGCAATTTTTTTTTTAGTATATAATAAAAAATAAAAAAAAAAAAAAAATAAAAATTTACTTTGATGAAATCTGACGAATAAAAATATTCTTTTCAAAAGATTTTTCTTTATAGAGATAATAAACTTTTTTTACATATTCCAAAATGACCCAAACAGATACAAGCTTCATGTCAGGAAAAAGGCTTTACTATGAGAATTAACTGAGCCCTTTTGAGGAAGGTAATTCAATACAAGGTCTGGTAACAACATTTTTATTCAAATAACCACGAGTGAACATCAAGAAATTTCCTTAATATTTTTTTTTTTTTTCCTGAACTGATATTCCCTACATACTCCAGAAACTTTGAAGGACTAAATCAAATTTGTCATCATATCAAAACCAACAATCTCATGTTTGATCAGCAAGTTGTAAGGGTCCCCATTAAAAAAATGTAAATGAGGTTTGATGAACTGTTCTATCAACTTAATAAATTGGAAGTTATTTGAGAGAAAGAGAGAAAGAAAAAGTTATATTAAATGAAAAAAAAAAAAAAAAAAAAAAAAAAAACGAACTTCAAAAATAACTTAATTCATTTGTGAAGGAGTCCTCAATACTTCATTAAAATCCAACAATTTGACTTTTGCAAAAAATTCCAAAACAATGGTTATTTTTTGTTTAAAAAAAAAAAAAAAAAAAAAAAAAAAAGATGCTTTAAAGTTTGGCCCACTCGCTGATGCAAGTAAAACAAGATTTTTAACCAATGTTTCTAATGTGCTAGAAAAGATTAAAAGAAAACTTTAAAATACTTGGTCTTTCCTCTTAGTAATAAACATTTTAATGATAAAACTTAATTTTTTTATCAAGTTTACGGGCCTTTTTCATCATGACATGTTTTCTTAGAAAATTATTAGTAGTAAGTACCGCCAAAAATTAACAGTTCGCTAAAAATTGCACTAAATTTTTAAAATTTTAGAAATTCAAAACAATGAATTTAAAACTAAAATAAAAGATTCAAGAATGAATTTTCAGTGATTTCATGATCAGATACACTTTGCTTTGTTCTTTATTTTTTAGCAAATAGAAACTGTATCAAATGATATAAGGTGTCAAATTTTAAGTTTACTAATACCAATTTTGACATACTAAAAATTACGACAAAAAAGTGAAGAAATGCAAAAAGTTTTTTCATAACTGATACAAAATTAGTTATAATTTGAGAAAATAAAGGAAATTTAATTCATATTTGTAACTGCTATTTCATTTGGCTGTACTCTAAAATTGATAACGTTTCATATACATAAAAAAGCATTTAGAGTTATTCCCCTTAGATCTAGAGAGTGGGATATATACACAAAAATGTTAATTTTTTAAATTCATTGACAGAAAAAAAAAAAAAAAAAAAAAATCATGTTTTGTTATACAGGCTACACCTGGTATTGGTCGTTATTCAGACATGTTCCTAATCTTGGTTGTTATACTCAACGTTTCGATACTTGTAACCTCTTGAAACTAATTCAGTTCATTTTAGAGATTTCATATCGGATTAACTTTTGTGTCGCTTGGCCGTTTGTTCCACTCTAAAACGAAGTATGTAATCACCACAACGATGTTATTGAACGAAGCTTCATGAATTCCAAGTTAGAACTGTTGAACCAACATGAAGTTAAGAAGAGTCACTTTCTTTACAAAACATCTTTTGTTGAGAGGTTTTATTCAAATAGGAAACTATTTTTTTTTAAATCTGTAACAATTAATAAATCGCAATTGTTTTCTGATCACTAAACAAAACAAAAAAAAAAAAAAACAAAAAAAAAATTCGTTTTTTTTTTTGGGGGATCAAAAAAAAAATTGCGACTTAAAACTAAAACAAGTTTAAAACAATTGTATTCAGTTTTTTTGATATATATTAAATTAAAGTTATACAAAATAAAGACAAAACCTACGCCACACAAAATATTTCCCAACAAAACCAAAGCCACGTGAAAGTATTCAACAAAAATAATGGTTAGATTTCAATTTCAGCTACTTCAGAAAACTTAATTTTCCAAAGAACAATAAAGAATTTTTTTTAAGTGTACTATAATTTTTTTTTTTTTTTTACATTCAAAGTAATAATACTTTCCAATAGAGAAGAAAATATTTATAAATTAGTTTGCACACGAAAGAAAGCACAATGTTAGTGGGGGTGAATGCTGTAATCATGACATGTCATTATAGCATTCAGTTATCTCCTCTTTCTTGTAACTCAACATTAACTGTAAAAAAAAAAAAAAAAAAAAGACGCAAATTTGATGAAAATATGTAATTTTTAACAGATCCTATGTTTTCTCTACGAGATGCACTTTATCGAAATGCTTCATTCTAAATTAAAAATGAACTTTTTAAACTGACGTTTTTTCGTTTTAGTGAGCAATGAGAAAAAAGTTTCATTTATGAAACTGAAAATCGCCAAATACTCAAACAACCACTTTTTCATTAACTTCAGAGATAAAGCCCAAACCTTTAATTTTAATGTTTATATGTCAGAGAAATATAAGACGACAATAAATCTCCCAACATTGCGAATTTTGAAGAAAGCCCGTTTACTAACAAAGCAAACATTTAATTTTTTTTTTTAAATTCCAATCACAATATAACCTTAATTCACGTCCAGTGCCCATAGCGTTTAAGAAGGTATTTTTGGAGTAGGAAGGGGCATTTAAAACTCTGGAAGTAGTTAAACTCTGCGAGTCTTTTTATCGATATTGATTGAATAAATGAAAATTATACCATGGCCATGTGACTTAAGTGATTAAGGAAATTCAGTTAAAAAAAAGCAGTCATTTTTAAGATATTTTATTTTTAATGCATCAAGTGGAAAATGATTGCAACAAAAACATGTAATAATCGACATTCGTATCAAATAACAGGAAAAATAGTAAAGTTAAGCTAAAAGAGGGGAACTCATGAACTTGTGTGGTAATCAATCAGCAGCTTTCTATAATAGACAGAATTATTATGTCATTTCATTAATTGAGAGCAAGCAAGATAAACGGTTTTTAAAATATTTAAAATCGGATCTGAAGTGTTATTTATTTACAGAATATTTTGTAATTTTTTTTTAAATAAAAAAAATAAAATAAGATTGGATAAGAAATGTATTAATTTCAATTCAAGGGTTTAGTTAGAGATGAGAGGGAGAGACAAGAAGACTTTAAGTTAAAAAATAAATGAAACTAAGAGTGCACTTTTTTTAAGCATTAAAAATTTTACATACAGTCCGGAAAATCCATTAGGACATTTTTATTTTATTTAAAATCATAAAATTTTAGCTTAAAATTCTATTAAGAGAAAAAAGTCAACAAAGCAATCCATTTCCGACCCACACTTCAATTGAGATGAGTCATCCGATTAAAAAAACAGTTCATCGCCATATTAAAATGATTAATAATCAACAATAGATTTTTGAGAAAAGGACAAAGTATTTCAAAGTAGCTTTCAAAACAGATATAGATAAGATTCTGAAAATGTGTGTTTAATCTACAAGAGGGAATTTGTCACCTTTAATTGTAGGCAAAGAGAGAAAATGAGGAAGAGACAAACAAGCACTGAAGTTGTTTTTTTTGTTTTGTTTTGTTTTTTTAAGTGGGGAAATGCAGCGAGGGCGGCAGACAAAGCAAGTATTTCAGTTGGCAAAAGAACGACAATGACGAATATTAAGACTAGCACAACAATATAACACATTACTAACAAATAGACAAGATAAAATTATGTTGGGGAGTGGGGATCTAAGAGATTTTCTGTCCACTGGAGAAAAAACATTTTTGTTTCAAAGAACTTTCAAAATTTAAACGTAAGTATTCCAGCTTTGTTATGACGTTTAGCTAGGGATTTTTTTGTAACTGCAACCCAGCTAAATAAGTTTAATTTTTGAAATTATTTTAAGGAAATAAAATTTCCGTCGAAAACAAAATGTGTGAAGTGAATGGCTGTAGAAAAAAAAAAAAAAAAAAAAAAAAGACATACTTATTTTACACAAAAATACATTTTGTTTTGATTGAGTAAGAAAAATAAGTTATGCCTGTGTGTTTTTGTCATGGAGATTGAAGAACTGGGAAAATAAGTGCCGATTCAAATAAGTGTTATGTTGTCCCAAACAATTTCGAGAAATCGAACCAGTTTGTAAAAATAAATCAAATATTCGATGAATACCTGATTTATTTACATTTGCACATGAAGAAGAAACAATGAAAAATTCATTATCATTGCATAAAAGCTGACATTTAGAATTTTACATAGTTTTTATTAAGTTCTACTGGGTCAACAAATTTGACAATTGAGAATTAATTACATATGCTCTTCTTTACTTTTAGTGGGTGTGCCGAATACTAGAAATTTGAGCAAACAAGCAAAGTTAAGAAGAATGTCAGTAATGTAAACTGGACCAAAAAGAAAAGCAAAAACTTCCAGAAATCGGTATCTGCATCGAACATTTTACTTTTAAGGATTTATGCAAGAATTGAGGTTTTATAATAACAACTCAATGAGAAGCTTATTACGAGAAGTACGAAAAGTTAAAATGACACAAAAAAGGGGGGGTATACTTACATATATTAGACCAGAGTAATAACGATCTTTCAAATTATGAAGCACTGAGGCTTCGTTGAGACAGGTAAGTTCAGCCATATCCTCTACTTTATTAAATTTTGGTGGATTCATCTTCTGTATGTCATCCCTATGAAATGGTGTCCTTTTGCCAGTGTCTTCCACTTCGACGATGACTTCGTCGCCTTTTTCTTCTTTTACGCTGGCCCCGATAAAGCCATGGGTCTCGCTTGGTACCCATACCATTCGCCTCGCAGCCCATTGAGATTGTGCTGAAGGATCCGTCAGAATATTACGGTCTACAGTAAGATATTTTAATTCTTGGGCACTCATGCCCGCAAACTGATCTTCTGCAGCCGCCATTTTGAACGTCTTTGTAGCAATGTGTATGTGTGTGGGAAGGTTTCTTTCTTTTTGGGCTTCAAGGCTTGGCCCAAGTTTTTTTTTTTCTGTCTGGAGCAGAGGAAAAAAAAAGTCTCGACGAAATATCAATCGCAGCAACTACCAAATGACTGCAGATTTTATCTGCTGCTGCTGATTATTATTCGAGCTTTTTATTTATTTTTATTTTTTCCTCTTCCTCCGAATGGTGACGGAAAGCACTGAACTTCTTTCAATATGATAGGAATGTTAGCCGGAACTTTATATCGCCTGTGATTGGCACATCATGTGACCGACCTAAGCCACGCCCCAGTTCACTACCCAGCTTCTATATATCTCGCAAACCTCTCAATTCTAACAAAGACTTTTTTTTCTTAATGAGAATTATAAATAACAACTCGCTTCTTTTTTGTGTTTTTCTTTATATTTCGCAAACAGTCACACCACAGATTTAAACAGTCATAGATGCAAATTGATAAACTAATTAACCGTATGTAAACAGAAAAGTTCACTTCAAGCTGTATCACGGTTTTTTCTTTTGTGTTTTTTTTTACTTTTTCATAATAATTGTCAACAATGTCAGACATTGATCGCTTTCTTTTGTAATGTACCTTTTTTTTTTTATTTGAAATCCTTAGAGCAATTCGTTCCAAGTGGAAAATTTTGTTAAAGTTATATAACTTTGAACTAACACTGTTACTCCTAAAAAAATAAGAAGTTTCCTTTTTTCTTTTTATGAACTGTCATTTCCCTGGAGAAATGTATTGTAAACTTCTACTTTTTGAATAATTCATTTTTTTCTTTTATTTTTCATATAAAAAAGAAAAAAGATTTAAATAAATCTTTTCTTTTTTTATATTCTACGTATTTTTCTTTTATACTTTCTCACAAATTTGAGTAATTAGTTTATTTTACATGAGAATGATTGTTTCAGAAATTTAAAAATTATTTTGTTTATTTCTTTATAAAAGATTACGGTAGAATTTGAAAATAAACAAAAACAAAACCGTTAGCACAAACAAAAAGTTTGTCTTGCCAGCACTGACGAAAACAACAAAATCCCTGGGTAGTTAAGTAAGAAAAATAATTAAAACATTACTATTGAAAATGTTTAAAAAGATTTAAAACCGCACAAAAAAAATTATGATTTTTTTAGTGTTGCACATAAAAGAGGCGTACGAAACTGCATCGGTAGTAAAACTTTTTTAAAAGAATGAAATAAGTCAATTCAATTCAGTGAATTAGATCGTCACCACTTTTAAAAAAGTGTCCAGACGGACGACCGGAAATTATAATATAGAGAGTAAAAAGAAAAGTAAAACACGTCTCTTTTAAAGAGACGTGTTTTAGTTTTTATAACTATTCCTTTTTTACTTTTATAATCTTTTCGACTACAAATACCGGGCATCTCACGTGTTGTAGTTCATCATATTATGTTGCAAGTACTGAAGTATCAAATGATACTGAGAACTATTTTTAAGAAGACCCCTTTTGTTGGCGCTAGCAAACAGTTTGGAAAAAAAAGCAAGAGAACATAATTACTTTAACACTAAAAACCGTGAAAATATTTTTTTAAACGCTTTTTTTTCTTTTGAAGATTTAGCAATAAAAAATGATTTCAATATCTCGGGGTTGATTTTATTTTCCTTATTGTAAAAATCGATCGGCAGCTTGTTTTTGTAATTAATTAATTATTCAGTCCTCTACCTCTAGCACATAAACAAAACTAGACCAATAAAGTTGATAATAAAAAAATGCGAAAACAACACATTTATTCGGCGATATGCACCTTTTACTTTTCTTTTCTGCTACACTGCTACATAAACCCAACAAGTAATAGTTTTAAAGAAATAACATCCATAGCATACACATAACTGACTATTTCTTATATAACAACTTGGGATATTAATTGGCTTTTTTGTGTGATCATAGCATGTTGCCACACAGAGAAATCAACGAATGTATAAACTCGGACGAAATTTCACACCATACTATGCAAAATCATCTGACAAGCTACAATACAAAGATGTATTTGAACTGTTAGGAAAACTTGATTTATTCAGGAAATCCAGAACATTTACTATGAGCAAACCACCTGCATAGCATACAGATAGCAAATAAATTGAGTTCACAAAAACAGAAAGAAGTGTCTTCTCAGTGGATTAATGCAGTGAGGCAATCTTAAAAGGAATAGAAGTCTTCCTATGATTTATTATTGAGAGGTCCAATCGTAACAACATAAGATACAGAAAAATGACTCCATATTGATGGTAGACACAGAAAGAAAAGAAGAGCAGGAAGGAGACAGAATTTATGGTTGACAATAAGAGGGACAGCACAAGATGTGAGCTATGAATTGAAGACATCAGAATCTGTCTATATTTCTTGTTTACAGTGTTTGTACTGTTCTCATCTTTATTGCCATATTCACAATGTTTTGGCCATTGTATGCTTCAGGTGATATTTGTTTGAATTTCAAACTAAACCCTTTATTTAGTCCAAGTGGGTTGATTGTTCTAATTCCACAGACTATGTCTTTTTTGGATATCTCAGTTCTCAGTTATTTCCCTTCAGTAACTCAACTCTCCAAGTTTTTGTTATCTCTACTGTGACAGGTATTGAATTCACAACTCTTTAGGTCAATTCACTTTTTGGATTACTTCAACCAACACTTTTATCCACTGGGTCCTTTGGTGACATCAGTGAGTGAATTTTGGGGACTTATAAAACTAATGTCTCGGTAACCATTTTTTTTTTTTTACCAGACCTCATATTACAATTTCTGTTATTGTTGCTTTTCTCTAGCTGTCTGTATTACTGTATTGTATTCATGTCTATGCTTGGCCAGCTTAGGAGATTTTTGTAGCCTAGTATATTTGTTAAGTATATCACCTAAATAAGGTTGGAGGGTACAGCCGAAATGAGAACAACAGCCCGAATGATGTTAATAGTGTAAACAGAATCAAGCAAGTACAGAAATTTAACTACCTGGAAAGTGTTTTAATGGACTATGGAAAAACATGATACAGAAATCTGAAGGCACATTGAAATAGCAAAAGGTGCCTTCCAACAATTAGACATTAAGAAACATGAAAATTTATTTAGAAATAAAGATAATAATACTTGACTGTTATGCAATATCACTCCTCCTAATATTACAGTGAATATCACAGTGAATAGGAAATTTGAGGCAACAGAGATATGATTCTAAGGAGGATGCAGAGAATACTATGAATGAAACATTACAGCAACATGGAAGTTTTAAGGAAAACGAGAATGAAAAGGACACTTACACTTAGGATCAGAAAGAGAGTTAAAAATTTTTGGACACATAATGAGGAAAGAAGACTTGAAAAATTTGACACAGGACATACTAAAAGCAAGAGGGTAGAAGGAAACAGGGTATATACTTAATAGGTTTGGGTAGATGGATGACTGAACATAGACTGGTAGGGACAGTAAGTATTTTACTTAGAGCTACAAAGGATAAGAAGTTGTGGAGAGCAATGATCACCCATGTGCTGAAGAGACACATCATGTAAATGAAGACACTGATCTTATTTTTACTTTGAACAAAAGTCACTCCACTACAACATAAGTTGGAAAATAGTAATTTACAATTGTTAAGTTTCAATATTTTTTCTCCATTGTCAGACATTGATGTTTTCACAATTTGTATGAACCAACAAATGTTAGTAAAATTTTCAGGAACCAATTTCAGTAATATCGGTTTTTATGAGAAATACTGACAATAACTAATGACAAATTTTAGTGTCAAGGTAAATGCAAAGAATTATTGCTAAGTTCTTGGAGTTGGTATTTTTTTTTAAGTAGTACACTTCATAATGAAGAATCTTTAAGCTAACCCAGTCATAATGCTCCTTCACATTGGCAAAGCTTATGATTACCAACATTGCCTAACAACTTTCGACAACACCAAATTAAAGTCCAAACAGCATAGTCAAAAGACTGAAGAAGATTATGGAATATTAAAGGCTTGTGTATAACAATCATATTCAGGTATATGGGATATTATGTTAAACAAATATTAAGAAAAATTCATGAATTGTTAATAGACTACAGTCAGTTTTTCTGATTTTATTATTCACAAGAACATTTGTATATGTAACCAACAAATGTTGATGAAATTTTTAGGATATATTTATAACTAGCTTAAAAGCTACTCTATCAGACAGCATTTAAGCTAGCTCCTGCAGAGGGCTCTTGGGAATCACAAATTTCAGGATTGTGGTTCCAGATCCAGCCTGTAATGTTTTTAATTTGCTCATGAAGTCGGCCTGATTCAAAAATGATATGTTGGGCTCTAGGAGTAAAGTTCAAAAAATATGACACAGTGGCACACTGACATTTGCATTTATTATATAGATAAATACACTATGTGAATTTCAGCTTATATCATTTGTTTTAGGCTAAGAAATAGACTGAGTGGCAAGAAAATATTTGAAGAAACTTATGTTGTGAATTTAAACAAGCAAAAGAAAGTAGAAAGTTGGATAAAGATATAAAAGCAACCAAACTATGCTACATTTAAATAAACATCACAAAGAGAAATGTGTAAGTTAGGTGAAGTACATGAAAATTAATTTCTCAGCATTAATTTTTAGCAAATAATATAGAATTCTATTGGATGGCCATGTTGGGTCCTTTATAAATATATTCAATCTACTTGACTTACAACACAACTGTGGGGAGTTGATGTATGCAGTAAAATTATAGGACCCTTCAAAGTGGATGATATTGTCAGGATAAATGCAGAGAACTATTGTAAATTGAAGGACAAAACTTTTTTAATTGTACAGATCAAAACCAAGAATCTTTAAGCTAAAGAGCCTATTCATCCAAGA